GACAGGACGACGTGATCAGCAGGTCTCTCAACACTTAGACGGCCTGTTGTGCAGCCCACAACTCGGATTTTGGGCCTACCGTGCCACACCGAGCAACCCGCCGGTCAGTACCGGTCCTTGGGAGGGTTCGTGTCCTCCGGGACAGTCGAGTCGTCAGACATAGTCTTTAGCCCTACTCAGCCCGTGTGGGTTTGGTCAACAAGGCCCTATCCTTCATCCACAGAGTTCCTACACCTGGACAAAAGAGACTCGATGCAGAAAGAAGAGACAGACAGACTTGACTCAGCAAGTACCACAGGGTGTGTGCACATCCATAGGGCGAGGGGATAGGCTGAAGGCTTGGCGAGTTTATACCGGCTCCAAACTCGTGGTCAACGGTCTTGGTCAACGCCTTGGTCAACGCTTGGTCAATGCTGCATCAACCCCCGGTCAACTTCGGTCAACGTTGGTCAACACCTCGGTCAGCTCCCGGTCAACCCGGTCAACGCCCGGTCACTCTCCCGGTCAACTCCTCCGGTCAACAGTCGGCTATGGCGGCCGGCTTCACTTTCATCGCCACCTTTCTCTTTCCTTTCTCCCTTCTTCGCCTCCTTTCTCTTCACCCCGGCTGTCTTCTTTCGCTCTTTTTTTTTTTTTTTTTTTTTTTATCGTCTCTCTCCCTTCACCTCCTCGGCTATGGTTTCTTTCACCTTCCTCAGTCTCCTCCTCCGCCCTCTCTCTCAACCTCCTTCGTTCTCTGTGGTCGAGCTCCGCGGCTATGGCCGCCTCTCGCTTCCTGGGACTGCATGGCACACTTCGCAGGTAAGTGACAACCAAACTTGTATCGCTCATCTCTCTCCTCTCTCTCTCTCTCGCGCGCGCGCCGTAGCGATGTCTTCAACGCAGGTACATGGTAAGCCAATCTTGTATCGCTCAACCTTTCTCTCCCTCTCTCTCTCTCTGTCTTCTTCTTTGTCGTGGTCTTCTCGGCAGGTGTGCGCGGCGGCTTCTTCAACCTCCAGGTCCGCTATGGCGGACTTCTTCTGTCGGCGGCCACCTCAGCTATGGCGCATCACTCTCCCTGCGACACACAACGCTGCGCGTGGAATAGCGGGTACGAGCTCCGGTACCAATGCAATCAGACTCGTTTTCATTCACACTTTACATGCATGCAAACAGTAACGCAGCAGAATGGCGACCTGCGCCCACTCAGTACTCAGAGATATGGCAACCCAGATATGAGTTCACTTCCAATGGTTATGGCGACACAGCGCCCATACAACTCTCTGTTCGCATACAATGGATCACCCTGGATATCCCACATGCGACTCTCTGAACACTCACGCACACACACACACTGAACCCCAACTACAGCTATGGCGGCTATGGCCGCCGCTACTCTATCGCTATGGCTAAGCGTCTCTCTCGCCCACTTCGTCTACGGGCTCTCTGCAGAGCACCTCGCACAAGTCGCTGTGGCAGCGCTTCTGCATGGCTCACGCAGGAATGAATGAATGGCTGGGCGCTGCCTCTTGATTTATACTTCTGCAGTGCGTTGGTCTGGCCCTTTCCCATGCCCGAAGTGCACACAGTCCCATGCGGTACTTGCTTGACTGGACCAGGACTGCCTAGGACTGGGACTGCTGACTCAGCACGGGTAGACTCCACCACTTGCCCACTTGCCTCGCCACTTGCCCACTTGCCTCAGTCTAAACGTGGGCAACTTCGGAAGGCCACTACTGGGACCTTCCGGAAGGCCGTGGA